AACTCCAAATCACGAACCTTCCTATCTGCGTAACTCTTTTGCCTGCTCTGAGCCATGAGAAGTCTATCTTGGATCAACTTAACCTTGTCCAAGGACTCCCTTAACAAATCTGTACCCCATGGTCTAACCTCAAATGCGTCAAACCAACCAATTGGAGATCGACATCTCCTACCATACAAAGCCTCAAATGGTGCCATCTCAATGCTCGAATGATAACTATTATTGTAAGCAAACTCCGCTAATGGCAAGAATTGATCCCACTGACCACCAAAGTCAATCACACACGCCCGCAACATGTCCTCAAGAACCTGAATAGTCCGCTCAGGCTGACCATCAGTCTGAGGGTGAAAGGCTGTACTAAGATCCACCCGAGTGCCCAACTCTTTCTGCATAGACCGCCAGAAATGAGATGTAAATTGGGTGCCACGATCCGAAATAATAGATATAGGAACCCCATGCAACCGAACTATCTCCCGAATATAAATCTTGGCTAACCTTTCTGAGTTATAGGTAGTCTGAACTGGTACAAAGTGTGCAGACTTAGTCAGTCGATCCACAATGACCCATATAGCATCAAACTTACCCAAGGTACGTGGCAACCCTACCACAAAGTCCATAGCAATTCGCTCCCACTTCCACTCAGGTATGGGCATCCTCTGAGTCATACCTCCAGGCTTTTGGTGTTCATACTTCACTTGCTGACAATTTAAACATCGAGATACAAAATCTACTATGTCCCTCTTCATACGGCACCACCAATAGTGTTGCTTCAAGTCACGATACATTTTAGTAGCCCCCGGATGAATGGAGTACCTCGAACTATGAGCCTCCTCCATGATCAATCTAGTCAAATCACCTGTACGAGGAACACCTATACGACCTTTAATCCTCAAGACTCCCTCACTATCAAGAATTGCAGCCTTGGCTTCTCCTTTTAAAACCTTGTCCCTAATCTTACATAAATCACCATCATCAAACTGTTGAGCCCGAATCTGCTCCAACAAGGATGACCTAGCCTCCATATAAGCCAACACCTTACCAGATTCCGAAATATCAAGTCTCACAAAGCTATTGGCCAGGGATTGGACATCCCTAGCTAAGGGACGCTCGCCAAATTGTAACATGGCTAGGCTACCCATACTCACCGCCTTCCGACTCAAGGCATCTGCTACAACATTTGCTTTGCCCGGGTGATAAAGAATAGTCATATCGTAGTCTTTGAGCAACTCCAACCATCTCCTCTGCCTCAAATTTAGATCCCTCTGATTGAATATATACTGGAGACTACGATGATCCGTGAACACCTCACAATGCACACCATATAGATAATGCCTCCAAATCTTTAATGCAAACACCACAGCCGCCAACTCTAAATCATGAATAGGGTAGTTCTTCTCATGAACCTTTAACTGCCTCGAAGCATAAGCTATCACCCTTCCCTTCTGCATCAACACACAACCAAGACCAACCCGAGAAGCATCACAATATACGACAAAACCCTCTCCCTCCACGGGTAGGGTTAAAATTGGAGCAGTAGTCAATAAAGTTTTGAGCTTTTGGAAACTAACCTCACATTCGTCAGACCACCGAAAAGTCACCTCCTTTTGTGTCAATCTAGTTAATGGAGATGCAATGGATGAGAAACCCTCAACAAACCGTCGATAATAACCTGCAAGGCCCAAGAAACTCCGAATCTCAGTAACTGAAGTAGGTCTGACCCAATCTCTAACCGCCTCAATCTTCTTAGGATCCACCATGATACCCTCCTTGGACACTACATGTCCCAAGAATGCTACCGAACTAAGCCAAAACTCACACTTTGAAAACTTTGCATAAAGCTTCTTCTCCTTTAGAATCCCAAGAACAATCCTCAAATGATGCTCGTGTTCCTCCTTACTGCGTGAGTATATCAATATATCATCTATGAAGACAATAACAAAGGAATCAAAATATGGTCTGAACACTCCATTCATCAAGTCCATAAAAGCTGCTGGGGCATTAGTCAATCCGAAAGACATCACCAAAAACTCGTAATGACCATAACGTGTTCGAAAAGCCGTCTTAGGGATATCTTCCGCCCTAACCTTCAGCTGATGATAGCCCGATCTCAAGTCAATTTTGGAGAAAACTGAAGCACCCTGTAATTGATCAAATAAATCATCAATACGAGGTATCGGATACTTATTTCTAATGGTTACCTTGTTCAACTGTCGATAGTCAATACACATACGCATAGATCCATCCTTTTTCTTCACAAATAATACTGGAGCACCCCAAGGAGATACACTTGGTCTAATAAAACCTTTGCTCAACAAATCCTGCAATTGCTCCTTCAACTCTTTCAATTCAGCCGGTGCCATACGATAAGGAGGAATAGAAATAGGCCGAGTGCCTTGCTCCACATCGATACAAAAATCAATATCACGATCTGGTGGAAGACCTGACAAATCGGTCGGGAATACCTCTGAAAATTCACTCACCACTGGAATAGACTCAAGCATAGGAGTCTCAATACTAGTATCTCGAATATGGGCCAAGTAAGCCAAACATCCTCTCTGTACCAACTGACGAGCCTTAAGGAATGATATCACACCCTTAGAAGGATGACTAAGAGTACCTCTCCATTCTACTATAGGAATTCCAGGCATAGCTAAAGTGATGGTCTTGGCATGACAATTTAAAATTGCGTGGTAAGAAGATAACCAATCCATACCAAGAATCACATCAAAATCTATCATTTCTAAGACCTTTAAATCTGCATGAGTGTCATACCCCATCAAAGTAACAGTACATAAACGATACACTTGATCTACAACTACAGAATCCCCGACAGGAGTAGAAACACGTATCGGCAAATCAAGAGACTCACACAATATATCCAGACTAGGAGCAAAATATGTGGACACATAAGAATAAGTAGAGCCTGGATCAAATAATACAGTAGCTGGTCGATGACAAACCGGAATAATACCTGTGATAACAGCGTCTGAGGCTTCAGCTTCTGGCCTACCTGGAAAAGCATAACAGTGAGAACGACTTCCATCAGATTGTGGACCTCCACGACCACCACCTCGACCAGAAGGAGAACCACCTCTACCTGAATGAGAACCACCTCTACCATTCTGTGCACCACCCCTAGCTGGAGGTTTTGCAGCCCTGGAAGTCGAAACCTGAGAACCCTGATGTAAGCCACCACGTCTGGTCCTAGGGCAGTCTCTCACAAAGTGTCCCATATCACCACACTCAAAGCAACCCCTACGAGACGCCGGCTGATGAGAGGAACCGGAATGTCCAGAATGCCCTCCACGAACTACAGGTCTAGAAGATGAACCCTACGAAGTATGTACCGAGCTCGAAGAGTTATGCCCAGCGTAACCAGCCTCAGACGCTGGTATGGCAGCATGAATGGGTCTGCTAGACTGAGGGTGATAACCTCTGCCCGAGTAACCCCGACTCCTAGACGGAGCACCACCATAATCACCTGAATAACGAGTCCTCTTGCCCTCTCGCTGCTCAAATCCCTCACGTCGAATCATCTCCAACTCCTTAGCAGCATCTACCACTTTCTGGAATGGAACACCAGAAGCAGCAACCTGAGACACTCCTAGACGAATTGGAATAATCAGCCCCTTAACAAACCTCCTCACTCTCTCAGCCTCTGTGGGAAGTATCATCGAAGCATGCCTAGCCAAGGCATGGAATTTACCCTCATACTCTGCAACTGACATACCATTTTGCTGCAAACCCTCAAACTCGGCCCTCTTGCGCTCCCTCTCACTGCGTGGAACAAATTTGGATAGAAATACCTGAGTAAACTCAGTCCAGGATAGTGGATGAGATCCGGCTGGCCTACTACTAATATAATCCCTCCACCACTGCTTAGCAGAGCCAGTCATCTGAAACGCTGTGTAGTCAACTCCATGAGACTCCACTAATCCAAGATTATGCAACCTCTCATGACAACTAACTATAAACTCATAAGCATCCTCAGCTAAGTCACCAGTATAAGTAGGAGGATTCATTAGTCTGAACCTCCCAAACATCTTTTGCTCATCAATAGTCATAGAAGGCCTGTTCACCAAATGTGATGTCATATCTGGAAACTCCATACTATCCAAACGAGGAGCTACAGCGGCAGATGGCTGAGTCCTGGGAGTCTGAGAATCTGGAGCAACTATCGGATCTGGAGTTTGACCTCCAACACGGGTCTGTGAGCCATCAGAAGTGACAGGAAAGGCTCCTGCCTGGGCCATCCCCTCTAGGATTCCTAACATACGAGCCAGGGTATCTTGAAGCACTGGGGGAACAATAGTACTGGTTGGAGCGTGAGCTGGCCCATCCCCCTCGACACGATCTTGCACATCCCCATGAATAACCTCTGCATCAGGAGGTACGGCCCTATCACGACCCTGGGTAGCTACTGGTACTTGAACATCCACAGGTGCTGCAACACGGCCCCTACCCCGACCTCGAGCTCGTCCCCTCCCTCTACCTCGGATAGGGTTCCCAGAAGCAGGCGCAGGATTAGGATCCTGACCACCACTTGTCGACGTACGATTCCTCGCCATCTGAGAGAGAATGAGATATCAAGATTAGAACTTCTACAAGGTCAAGTGTGCACGATAAGGAATAAAAGAACAGAATATTTCCTAAATGTCCTATAGCCTCTCGAAGATAGGTATGGACGTCTTCATACCGATCCGCAAGACTCTACTAGACATTGCTCTTGTACTCTTGAGACCGATGAACCTAGAGCTCTGATACCAAATTTGTCACGACCCAAAATCACGAGTCGTGATGGCACCTATATTCCCAACCAATAGGTAAGCCAACCAACATATTTTAACAAACTTAACTAACAAGAAGTGAAAAGACAAAAATTTCCAAATCTCCAACACTGAGTTCTTATAAGTACGAATGCGGAAAACTGAAAAAAAATACTACCCAAGAAATGGTGTCATGAGTACAAGAGCTTCTAAAATACGATGCAAGTCTGAAACCAAAAAGGCAAATCTAACATAAGGGATATCCTGTCTGAATACTGAATAACAGAATAAGTAAAAGATAGAGGGAGGTGTGGGCCACGGAACAGCCAAGCAGCTCACCACAACTCCAAGACACTCCAAACTCGGACTCAAACTGCTCCTCGAGATGTGCTCCTACTTGGAATCGAATCTGCACCACAAAGAGTGCAACAAGTGTAGTATGAGTACGAAACCACGTGTACTCAGTATGTCTCATTGACCGACCACGAAGAAGTAGTGACGGGAGTTATATAAGAAAATAATTTCTTAGATTGTACAAGTATATATATATATATATATATTACACTTACTACTTAAGTTTCATCAATAAAGGAAATCAACATTTAATATTTTCCAAACACCAAACGAAACCTATAGTCATCAAGAAAGAATGATGGGATGAAATGCAATGCAATATGATGCCATCTAATGATATGTCTCAGAATACCCAGTACTCACTCAACCGTATATACATGATACTCCTCGGAAATACATCGAGAGTTCATGACCCATGGGGGACTCGCGAGGTCCATATACCGACACGGACGATCTCCACGTGTCTGTGCGGACGATCTCAACACACTGTCATAATATCAAACAATTTTCGCACGGACGGTCTCCACGTGCCCAAATTACAATCTTAACATCTCACCATCCCCAGCACGGACGATCTCCACGTGCCCAACTTATACTCAGTCTCATGTCTATGCATGTGCACAATATTATTTCAATAAAGGGGATGATGATGCATCTCAATCAATCAATATGAACATAATACATAACCACCTCAATTATCACAACTATACGGGTGAATTAAATAAAACACAATCACACAAGGAATCCAAATCAATAATATATCAGCTAATGCCCATCTGCTTTGGCATTCTCAAATTCTAATCCACATTCTATAATAGAAATTTTCCTTTTTATAACACCGGTACTCGTACCAATGCCCGTCACACCATTGATACGAGACCACCATCTTTCCCCCTTACCCCTTGTCTATTTTCATTTTTTTAATCTTTAATTAGGAAAACGTCCTTCAACAAGTCTAAAAAGTCTTAACATACCTCAAGTGCAAAATTCGTGTCACGAATCTTCAAGATAGTTCCTTCCCTTTTTGCAAAGTTTTGTAATGTTCACGATCTACCAATGATGCAATATTCATAAATAAGCGAGTTTGTAGACATTCATATTATTATATATATATCATAGACCCTAAACTCATTCATATCTCTAATCAAGCGTCAAATCTTGGTATAATTTATATGCCAATTCGTCAAATTTCAAGCCAAGAACTTAACCTTAACCTCTCCAAATACCCTAGATTCAATGCTAAATCATATAATATACACCCAATAATTAATTTCCTATCTCAATATATCAAAAACTAGTATCATAATTTGATAAAATAAATACAAATAAGAATTAATAAAGAAAATCAAGGAAAACGATAATGCAGACCACGTTCTTTTTTTTCGTTTTCTTCAAATGGTACTGTCAAATGTCTAACTTGTAAAGGAATATGCATATAATTGCATGATAACCAATTGTATCCAATGATTAAGCAATCATTGGCCGCCATTATCAAATAAATCTTATGCCAAATTATAGTTTAAAAAAAAACATTACAGTGACTATACATTACACTTTAATCCCCTCAAAATCTTATTTTATTATATTAATGCAAGTGTACCATACAATTACACATAAACCTTTACAAATTTGGATTGATTTACCTGGAGATTAATGTTCTCCGCAGCCGTTGGTCCCTCTCGTCTCCAGGTAGTTTCTAACCTTTATATTTTTTTGTTCTTCTTCTAAAATAACCTAACTGATTTGTTTTAATTATATAGTCAAATGGTAAGGGTTATTAAAAAAGAGAATTTGACCCAATTATTATTCAAGTATATTAATTATAATATAGATATATGTATCAACTAAGTACTCCTAGTTATCAAATAGTTTAAAATACCTCTTAAATTTTCAAAAGGAGTCGAACTAGTCCTAGTTCTCAAAACGACCTAGCGGGTCGTTACTACTACAACAAATACAACTTTTAGCAATTATAAATATTGACATTATTAAAAAGTGTTAAATTCTTTATCGACATTAGTTGAGTTCCATTAAAAAAGTGCTAATTACAACTAAAAATACATATTTGCCGCTAATGATAATTAATGTAGTGATATGTATATTATAGTTTGTTAAAAGTCATATAAAGTATATAATGAGTAATGACTATTTAATATAGCGTACCGATAAATGACGATATACTCAAAAAAAACCAAATATAGCTTAATTATGTATGAAGTAGATATACATTGCCTATTCAATCTTGATCAACTCCGAATTACCTCTAAACATACGTATATATATATATATATATATATATGTATATATATATATACATACATACATACATACATACATACATATATATATATATGTATGTATGTATGTATGTATGTATGTATATATGTATGTATATACTAGTTTCACGGTGTCTTTCACATCATATTGAATACGAACTTGTAAAATAGAATTAATATTAATTTAAAGTTATTGAATAAATAATTATAACTGAAAGAATTGGAAAAGATCTTTTATATGATTAATACAGATTTTCATAGAGTTAATTATTTTTAGACAAAATTTGTCTGATATCATTGAAACATTTCAAAAATTTAAATATGGGAAGACAGTGGTAATTGTTAAATAGTATTGTTCTTTAATTTACCGAATTTGGTAAACAAACTTATCCAACAAAACAGAAAAATAGTGTCCAAATAAAAAAAATGGTCAACAATAACTTTTCCTCTTGAGGTTATTTCTGTAAATGATAGACACTATATAAGTACAATTATTCTTGTAGATATTAATATTTGAAATTTAATATGTGCATCACACTAAGAATGATTGTCATAAATATTTTATCTTTAAAAATGATGTATCTTTTACAAAATATTATTATTCAATTAATATTTGAAAAAGGCTATGATATAGATGTAATTTTACAAAAACAAAAAATGTAGCTATATAGTGAATGCTAATACTTTTATAAGTAGAATGTTATAGAGAAAAGTATATTACATCAATAATTAGTTCTAATGAGAACATACATATCATGTAGATGTTGTCTTGTGAGTGTATCTAGTATTTTATAGATGTTCTATCATGATAGATAAATCATTCTTTTTCAATTAAAAAATTAAAATATGAAAAAAATTAAAGTATTGTTTTATAAAATCTTTAATCTGGTTTAAGATCATTTTATGAGCAATCACTATTTACTTATCATTTGTACATAGCTAGCAAAGAGTGTAGCTTGTGATATAACATTTTCTTAGATCAAAATGAATACAAAATAAAACGAAATTTATATCAAATATAAGTATAAAAAAGTAAAAATTAGTGGATAAATTCATAACTAATGAAGAAGGAAGGAGAAAATATATGTTCATTGTATATTCACCCCGTTGTTTCATTTGATTGAAATCTCTTCAACCAACACTTCACTTCTCTGTTCATTTTTACTTACATATCTATTAAAAATAAATATTTTCATGGTTATATTATCATATTATAAGTAAAAGTGAAAACCTATTTTGAAACAATTGATTTAACATCAAACTACTAATTCAATGGACTACGTTGATGCCCGATATTTTAGAAAAATTAGGAAGAAACTCCTTCAAATTGATGTTAAAAACATAAGAAATGGAAATACAAAGAAGAAATATCTTACCCCAATGATGTAGCATTTCTGTATTTGTCTCTCCTACATATTTATCTATTTATTTTATTCGGAAAAAAAATCAACAATGTGTGTATATAAATTCTCTCTCGAACGAAAACACAAAAGAAATTAATCAAGAAACAAAATAAGAAAATAAATGAAAACTCGCGAACTATCTATAAAAGATTTATGTTTTAAGCAAAGTTTATAGATAATTGCATATTTCTTTGTTCTCATCTTTTCGTCTTTAATAGTAAGTCTATACCTAAATTCCATTGCTAAGAACTTCGGGGAAACATATAAGTGGATAGGAGATGAATCATTTCTGAAAATTTTAAATTATCTCAAATTGTCACCAAAAAAAAATCCCCAAGAATTTGTAAGGAGTGAATGGTTGTAATTTATGACTGAAAAAATATCAAGGCAGAATTGTTCCGACTATTCGTAGGAAATCAGTCCTTTTTAATGAATAAAACATGTACGCTAATTAAAGAGTATTAATATTCTAAAATAATATAAATAATCTTGATGTATGTATATGATAAAAATTACCAGGAGAAAATATGAGTGTGAATTATTGAATGATTTGCTACAATTTTTTCATCAACTCTTTCTTATGTGGTACATAGAATTTCCTTGGGTTTCAAATGTAATAATCTATAGCAAATAAAAGTTGAGATTTCTTGAGAAAAAGTGTATATAACCTTAAAAAAATTGTACTTTAAAAGTGCGGGAGCTCCTTTATTCATAGGTAACAAATAATAGTATAAATATGTTCTGATTGTGTCATATTGGATAAGTTACAACCCTTCAAAATGTCTTTGCTTATCGGAAAAGACATAACCCTTTGGAAATGTCACAACTATTCGAATAAGACACAACCCTTTGGTGAAGTCCCAATCCTTTGAAAAAACAACAAACCTTTGGAAAAGTCGCAACTCATTGTAAATGTCAGAACCCGTCAAAAAAGTCACAACCCGTTGGAAAAGTTACAACTCATTATAAAAATCACAATCCATTAATGTGAAAAGTTATTAACTTTTAATATCACATAATTGAATAAATTGAGTATTTTTGATTGGGGGTATTATAGTCATTCAAAATTCATGTTTGGGAGTTCATGCTTTTAGGTAGTATATATATATATATATATATATATATATATATATATATATATATATATATATATAGTATCAATCAAGTGAAATCATCTACCTTTATGACACCAGCACAACATATGCCATTGATTTAGTTTCAACTAAGAGAAATTAATATCCAATGAAATTAAAGATATATAATCTGTTATTGAGTTTGTGCACACCAACTCAGAATTTTTGCATTCGTGAGTGCTTGAATGTCAAATATCTTGTTGAACCTTTCGGGAACTATTCTTTTACTTTACTATAAGATTTTGTTCACGCAAGTTCATCCATGAGAAGATAAAACTTTGAATTCCCTGAATATGAGCTTCTTTAGCTCTTTCACAGGTATGAAATTGAAGTTAACCACACAATAGAACCAGTACAAAAAAGCTCTACCATCACCAATTGAAAAAGATTGAGCAAAAGACAAAACATAAAACCCTTCAGCAGCAGTAACTTCATCATCATCATCAACTTTTTCTTAATAATTCAAGTCAAGTTGAATTGAATTTTGATATTCGATGACTAGATCTCATTTTCTTGAAGGTCAGCTCTAAAAAAAAGTAAAATTTTCATGATCAAAAGAAGTATTTTACTATCTTTACTACAAGGAGAGATAGAGAAATACTAAAGAGGTTTCTATGATATGTTGAAGCAAGTTGCGTCACATTTCTAACTCTGTATATGTACAATAAGAAGTTGTCAATTTTTGCAAAATGATCTGTAGCTTGACAGATATATTTTCACAGTTTACCTATACATACACGTCAATCTCCTTTCTAAACCTTTTAAGTATCTCAGATTGAGTTACATCACCAAGTTAAGTGATCACACCTCAGTGCAGTGACCTCAACTGTAGAAAGCAATAAATGCAATATTGCAAAAGGACAGTGAAAGAGCTGGTTTGGTTCTTCTGGAATCAAACTAAATGGAAGATGAATCCACATGAATATTTTGTAGGAATATAGTTAGTACAAAATAAAAGTCAAAAATAGTATCTTGGTAGGTGAAATTTAGGTAAATCGTAAAATGGTTTCATATTCTTAACATTGACATTTTTGACACAGTGATGTCATGGATGACATTAATAGGATGAATTTATTCCTATAAATAGGTAGGTCTTAATTAATTTTTATATCATACTCTCACTTGCCTTTTCACCTTCTAAGGTATTTGTGTTCTCTCTCTTGTAGCATTTCACTTTTATTCTTTATAGCGTGAAAAAATATTGGGGCAGTTGTTCTTTGGTGGACGTAGGATCATTTTGATCCGAACCACGTTAAATATTGTTTTTCTTCCTTGATCTTAAATTTCACATTCCCGTTAACAATTGGTATCAAAGCCAGGGTTTTATTTGAGTATGCTCAGTGGTTGTAGCACAGTCTAAACTTCCACATCAAAAAAGAATTACTTTGGTTTTTTGTAGTTCCAAATACATTGTAGTAGAAAAGGAAGAACTAGTAAAGATGAGTTCTATGAATTTCAATATTGATAGATTTAGTAGGCGCACCAACTTCAATATATGGAAGATCCAGATGATGGCGTTACTGCAGAGGGAAGGTTCAATCCATGCTATTGGAGGAAAATACCTTGATAAGATATCGGATTCCGACAAGGAGAAGATTGAAGGAGATGCATAGAGTGTAATACAATTGTACCTTGCACATAACGTACTTTGTGAAGTGAGTAAAAATACTGAAGAGACGACCAAGGAGTTATGGAAAAAGCTAGAACGACCTTACTAGGACAAGTCACAAACATCAAGAATGTTATTACATTGGTGTCTTCATACAATTAAGATGCATTCAGGTACTTTATTGCAAGACCATATAGATGCGCTCAATAAATTAGTGATGGACTTATAAACTGTTGGAATTAACAGGATGAGGAGACGCTTATATGTTCTTTGCTATTTTCATTGACTTGAAAATATCGTGATATTGAGAATTCCATGATGCGGCAAACATTTAACACTTGTGATGTTCAAAAATGCATTTTGAAAGAGACAAAAGTATGAAGACAGTGTAATCTTTGTAATAGGTCGTACTAGCCAACAGGAAAGGAGAAAATTAAAGTACAGATCAA